CATGTAACTTTTGAACATTAGTGTAAAATGCGGTTAAAATTTTGTGGAACAATTAATATTTTTGACAGCATAAAGTGTTTTTTTTTTTACATTTTATTCTAATACGTATATATCTAGTGGTAAGTTAAACATAATCAAAAGGTAATGTTACGAATGATAAAAACCTAGAAAGACATAGTAAAGAAATAAAGTTAGGGCTCGAATTTCCTAGCACTTATAGTCAGATCGAATTGTAACTTGCTCCATCTATTGCTTAGGTATAAACAGTATCACTTTACTGCCATTCTACTTACCTACCCTTAGTACTTACCTTTCATATTGAAGTAACAATTTTGCCATTTACTTCTTTAAGTGCCCGGTTTACGCATTAAGCTTGTCCTCAATTACATAATTGGGACTAAAATTATAGTCCACACAATGTGGGTGTTTAATATGCCTCAATTTGCCTATGTTGTAGATAATATAGATAAGGCATCCTTTTAGCTGAATTTAATCTCTTGCAGAATGAATTAAAATGATTCGGACGTACAGTGGCGGTTGGTGATGTTTTTTTTTTAACTTTTAATCCATACGACCATACTTGACAATAATACATTTTATCTATACTAATATTATAAAGCTGAAGAGTTTGTTTGTTTGTTTGAACGCGCTAATCTCAGGAACTACTGGTCCGATTTGAAAAATTCTTTCAGTGTTAGATAGCCCATTTATCGAGGAAGGCTATAGGCTATATATCATCTCGCTAAGACCAATAGGAGCGGAGCACCAATGAAGAATGTTTCAAAAACGGAGAAAATTTATTACTATTGAGAGACGCAGACGAAGTTGCGCGAGTCAGCTAGTAATATAATAAATGTGAAAGTCAGTTTGTTTCTTTGTTACTCTTGACCACCTAAACCGCTAAAATGATTTTGAAAATTATTTCATCAATGGAAAGGTACAATATCAGCGAGTAACATACGCTACTTTTAACCGCGATAACCGAAATACACGCGGGCGGAGCCGCGGGCAAAAGCTAGTTACTAATAAACCAATAAAAATGTATAAAAGTACTATCAGGCGTGGCGCACTATGGCCTTTACTGAGACCTTTTTTGTCATACCTGAGATAAGCAGTATCAAATTGATGTTCGTTCTTATCGTAATACTAAGAATGGATTCAGCATGAGGGTATAATAAACTACAGAATCCCAAATCAATGAACAAAACGTAACATTACGCAGATAAAAATAATCAACAAACTTTTTTAGTTAGTTTATCTGTGGCACTTCGAATGCAGGTACTGAGCAAGGTTATTTTCTGACGTCGAATAGATATATCTATGAAACTAGTGAAATGGCTATGACACAAAAAAAAAACAAAGGTGTAAAATAATACAAAGGTCGATTTGACATAATCACTGGCTCTGTCAATAAAAGGTTCAGTGCACTTAAATATCTAAAAATATCACTCATCGATTTTGCATATCTAGATAGTAGAATTACTTAGGTGTGCAAAAATCAATAAAATGTGTTTAGAAAGTCCAGATAAATAAGAATGTATTAAAATTAACCATACAATTATTCGCCTGAAAATAGAAACTTCAAGAAATTGAAGGTTTTTAATACTTGAAACGATTAACTTGTAATCTAAATCATGTAGACGAAAAATGCAATGTTGTAATATTCTTTCGTCACGACATATTGTTATCAATCGGATATCGACTCGAAGAGATAGCTGACATCATGATTATTGTAAGACGGCCGAAGTCCTTTCTGAATATGATTTCCTTCTCAATATAAACAAATAATTTACCAAATTATGATTTGGCCACCTAATACCCATCTTTAAATTGACCGAGTAACTTGCCACTTTCATGAAATGACCTCGAACGTTTGAAGGCTTGTCAATTTATCACATCATCTCATCATCAGCCTTTAATAGTCCACTGCTGGACATAGGCCTCTCCTTAGAAAGGAGGTTTTGGCCTACTATACCACGCTGGCCAGACGGGTTTGTGTCAAGTTTTCCTTCTCTTTGCAGTGCTGTTGTCTTGCGTAGTTGTTAGTTAATCTATGCCTGCCACATATTACGATTATAAAAAATCATATTATTATCTTAAGTTGTCGTAATAACTTTTAACATCTATTTGAACATTTTTATTCCTTTCTTAAAACGAAATAATTTGTCCGGCGCCATGATGTATTACAAAAACAAAACGATATCGGCGCCTCAACTGTAGATAATGTGTACTATTTTACGATAATATGATGACTAATGTTTGACCATATCATGAAGTAGTCGTGCGTTCCTATTCATGTGTTCAAATCACCAAACGCTGAGTGTATATCATCATCATCATCATCAACAACCTTTACTAGTCCACTGCTGGGCATAGGCCTCTCCTTAGAAAGGAGGCTTTGGCCTACTATACCACGCTGGCCAGACGGGTTGGTATAGGGTTCGTGCCAAGTTTTCCTTCTTTTTGCTGACATTTCGTATTCTTAATTGTTGCCACACGGAATATATCTAAGCCAAAAGTCGCGGGTTCGATTCCCGTTTAAGTCAAACATTTGTGTGCATGAACATTTAATGTTTGATTTGGTCTGAATGTTTCTATGTATAATTTGCATTTATTCACAAAGAAAAGTATCTATGTTTTTATATCAGTTGTCTAGTACCCATAGAACAAGGTCTGCTTAGTTTGACTATGATGGACTAGATGACGCAAAAAAATTACGCAAACGCGTAAAAAACGCATAAAAAATACAACCAAATTGAAACCCTTCTAATTTTTAATAAATAGGTTTAAAATAACACAGTTGAAACAGATTTATATGCAACATACTTTGTTCCTTGTCAGAATGTCGTTGATACATGATCATAATAATAATGCTCTTTATTGTGTTCTAGATTGTTCCAGCATCGCTTCTTTGTATAATAAAAAAAATGCGATGATAAAGCACTTGTATTTGATAGGTGGTGGGCACCAGAGTTGATGACCACATTGATACCTTGCGTAGGATTATTCTTAGAAAGACGCATTCCTAAGCTTTATTCTTTAGGACACACTTTGTTCTTTAGTACAACAAAAATTAAGAAGTAATAGGTTATCTTGGTATGGACATGTCATGCGGAGGGATGAGGAAAACGTGGCGAAGAAATTTTAGGTATGGGAGTTGAAGGGTACAAGAGAAGAGGCAGACCGAAGAAAAGGTGGATGGACTGCGTGAGGGAGGATATGGCTAGGAAGGGAATGAACAGTGAGATGACGCATGACAGAGTAGAATGGAAAAATCATACATACTGCGCCGACCCCAAATAAAATTGGGAAAAGTGTAGGCAGATGATGAACAAAAGTGTTTGTTTTTATATATTATTTTAAAATGGCATAGTTATGTAGCTGATAAATAATATTATATTTATGTTAAATGATATCATTCATGTCCGTCAAATAAATTCAGTCTAGAGATAGTTACAAAGAGATCTTTCTCTCGTACCTAATCGTTACCTATACGCATTAAATCTTTTGTTTTATAAATAGGATTTCAATTTAAATCGTTTCTTTCAGGGTTAATGTAAAAACGATTTTTAAGTAAACGTAATAGTACATATCAGTATAACATTAAAAAATAGTAAAAAGCTTTAAAACGCTCTCCTATCGACCATAACTTTAACCAGCCATTATTTTGGGTATGTCTAGAAAGGTCAAACCTGCACCTTTCGCCACCTGGTTTGTGTACTTAGTGTCAACAACCATTTCTTATATTTTTTGGGTAGTAGTATTGAATTGTACTTATTTCTTTAGTAAAGTGATAAAGAACAAAACGAAAATACAGTATCAGAAACCTGTTTGATGACATTATGGGCTATTATTAGACTGTTCGTTACAGGTAGTACATACAATTTAGTGTTGTTCCCATTCGATATCCCATAGACAGTACCTAAGATAAAACAAAAACCGTATTGACACCGCTATGCTACACTATATCTGACATAAAGTCTGTGTATCTAATATATAAAATTCTCGTGTCACGGTGTTCGTGGTTGAACTCCTCCGAAACGGCTCGACCGATTTTCGTGAAATTTTGTGTGCACATCGGGTAGGTCTGAGAATCGGCCAACATCTATTTTTCATAACCCAATTATTATTATTATTTTGACAATTTTTTTTTTTTGAAATAATGGATATGACAAAACAACGTTTGCCGGGTCAGCTAGTTCTACTATACGGTAAGTTAAGCGTTGTTACAAAGTGGTGTCAATTGAGATACTATCATGCTTCTTTTCAAATCTGCGGGCAGGCGCTAGGAGGGGTCCGGATGTCTTAATAATAGCTGTTCCCGGATCTCTCCTATTAAGGCGCAGAGTGGCACACCGTGTGGTTTTAGTCGGTACGATTAAGTGACACCACCCCGGCGCCAACCCCGGTGGGGTGACGGCCCGAGGGGGTTTTAACACGTAAAAAACACCAGTTTTCTGTGATGCTGTGGCATCAGTCCGGTCGAACCTGCACTTTGTGCCGAAGCATGACTCTACCACGGTAATAAAATGAAATCTATAATATTAACACGGATTGTCAAGTTAAAGTTGACTTGGGAATGTTGATATTCCTGTCCTAGTGTCGACTTTAACCAGAGGAAGAGCAAAAGGTTACGCTATCCCGGTATCTTCGACCTACTGCAGTTCAATTTTGGTAAGTGCTGATTCCCCATTCGACGACTTGCGGTAATCTCTAGCCTGGGTCCCACGTTCTATCTGTTTCTCGCCCCAATTTAAGTTCTTACTTTGTCTCGTCTAAATTACTTTACTAAATGAATCCATTTCTTAAGCGGTTTGAGTCTGAGAGGGCACCGTCCGTAACAAAAATCAGTTGTGATTATCATTACCATTGTTGAAACTAAATCATCTTCCAAACTTTCTCATTTGACAATATCATTAGAATAGAGCCAGCTATCATGAGAATAGAATAGATAACTTAGCTTAAATACAGTGTATTCTAATAATTAATAGAAGACTCACCCTCTCCTCTAAATGTGTGACGCCAGCCAAACTCTGGTAAAACGTGGGTGTCTCCAAGTCTTGAGCAATATTCACTTCGGAGAGCAGCCATTTGGACAGCACCGTAGCATCTTTGTGAATCAGGAGCCATGACCTGAACTGGTCGAAAGTGACCTTCTCGCCAGCTCCGAAGAGGCTGAGGAGGACCTCATTCGCTCTGTTGCTGGCTGTCGCCGGTAAAGACGTGTGTTCCAGGTGAAGAGTTCGTGCAAAATCACGTTTGTAAATAAACGTGCCATTATCACCTTGGTTGTTCACGTAGAGAGTCCAGAGGAACCTAAAATTGTATTCTGAAGTTAGTGCATGTTAAGAGAAGATAGGGTATAGCAGATTTTTGCTTATATTTAATTAGTCCGACCATAACTTATAGAAAGACCGTCATGGTTTATAATAGTACTACATGCATACCATTATTTATTTTTGCTGGTGGAGTATCACCAGGCTTCTAGGCCTCGAGCTAGCAAATAAAAGGTACTTGAGAGACTGTTTACGCTTGTAGGCAATCTATGCAGCACCTTTTTTTTAGCTCACTATTGCTTATTAGTAACCGCATTTCAACGCGTACCGTGTGTTTTCTTACCATTTTAGTTGTATAAAAAGATTAAAAAAAACTTGAATAAAAACTTTTTTTTTTTGCATTTTATACCTTTTTTTTCTGTGCGGAAATCCCCTCGGATACCACCTATCGGTGGCATGTCGGACTCGAACCGACTAAAACCGCACGCCGTCTCGGGTACTAATAGTCAGAGAACCAGGTATAGCCTAGAAAGGAAGTCCCTGGTGCCCCGACATACCTCGGGTCATCTACAGACGAGTAGACGACCCCCCCCCCGTGTGGGAACCCCATGTTCCCTGTGCTCCCTGGAGGCGAGCGCGCTTCGCAACGCGCTCGCCGCCACCCCGGCCTACTTCTGCTAGGGTGACAGATGGCCTCACCTGTCACCCCCAGGCCTGCGCTTATGGTGGACGGAGGTCGTTCTGCGACCTCCGGCGCCTGAGTCGCCTGCGGTACCTGGCCCGTTCCCGGGCCCGGCGGGCCGGGAGAGTCTTAAACCTCTCCCGGTCCCGCTTCGCCGTCTCCTTCGCGAGCATAACTTGCTCGCAGAAGGAGACGGCAGAGTTCCACGCACTCTCGCTCCGCACGTTAGCCGCAATCAGGCTATCGAGCAAGAGAATGAATTTTATACCTACATTAAATTCATAAGATATAGGTTTGTTAACAATTAAGACTGATGTTGTAAGCGTCTTAACAATTCATTTATACTTGACAGAATTATATTACAAAGGGGCATTCTAAAGTTAAGAGAGCAGTTGATCTTCAAGAAAAGAGTTTTCAGTGTATGTATTTATAGTGTACGAATATAAAGTATATGTATTTTATGTGTATTTATATCTATATATGTATATGTGTGTATGTATGTGTGTATGTGTGTAACTGTATATGTTAGTTATAACTACTATAGCAACTGCAACCTCAGTGCACCTACCTCACCAGATTTCTACACCCCCCAAAGGTTGGATGGTAGAGAATGCCTTGGGCATTAAGCCCGCCGTTGTACATAAATATTTGGCAAAATCATATTTGGCAATATCCGTATAAAGGTTGTCTGTAAGAGATCGCCGTGTGCGATAAGACCGCCTATTGTAATACCTCATGTAGATGTCCATCCATGTCTGTACAATATATACTGTAGCGGTGTACAATAAAGATGTATAAATAAATAAAAATAAATAAATAAATGTATAAAGTTGTAAATAAAGAAATAAATAAATAAAAGAGTTTACTCCTTCCTAAAAGGCCAGAAACGCGTTTTTGCCTCCTGAGTTGCAGACGTTCATGGGCGGCGATGGTCACTTTCCATTAGGCGACAGGTCTGCTCGTCTGCCCCCTCAAAAAAAAAAGGTCTTTGTTTCAAAGATAGCGTTGTTTGGGGTTACATAGAAATGAATACCTTGTACTGAAGTATTTGGCAAGTTATTTCCAACAAAAATAAATCCATAAATGTAAAACGATTCTCAAAAACAACAAAGCTTTACCTCAATCGAAATTTACTCATTATTATTAAATATACTTATCGATGTTTTTCATATAAACATCGAACCGCCAATAAGATGCAAATGAACGTAAATAAAAGACATATGTATGCTAACTGTAGGTATTACTAGGTACTCGCCTCGTACAAGGGATTATGTTAACGACTTAACATACTTTAGTATGTGGATTGCGAGTTAATGAGGACATGACAGGACAATGACCCCACATCGAAGTTATGTATACTAACTGGCCTCGTCCTCTTTTCTCTGATATCACATCAACAGCCTTTAATAGTTCATTGCTGGACATAAGCCTCTCCTTAAGTTCTGATATATTAAAAGAAAATTAAATCTTCTAACTGCACGGATGGCTTAATGGTTCACCCAGCCGCTTCCTACAGCGCTGAGTGTGGTGGGTTCGATACCCATATGGGACAACACTTTGTGCTGAGACTTGGTGTTCTTTTTGTTCGTTTCATGAATGTTTGTAAAGTCGCCGGCGATGTATTACACAGGATATATTCCTAGAGCGGAGTGGTCTTTAAAAAAACCTAACATACATACACTCACGCCTGTATCTCTAAGTGTATGCAGAGACGCACATTTTATCATTTACCCTTCTCACAGAAAGCTAATCTATAATATGTACCCTGTTACCCTGTTGTTGTACCCTGCCACGCATCGCTGTGGCATTTTGTAGTTGAATAAAATAGATAAAAACCATCTTTGATGCGTGTTGTATATCGTGTCAAAACTTGAGCTCAATCTATGCAGTACTTTTTAAGTTTTGTAGCGTACACAAACCAACTTAACATATTTTATACGTATTTAGACAGACAGACTTTTTAACTAAAAAAATATTTTTTAGCGGACCGAATTCTGAATCTAAACCATTCTCGAATCCACTTGAACACACACAAAACATTTCATCAAAATCGGTCCAGCCGTTTCTGAGAAGTTCAGTCAATATATATATGATATGTGGACATTTAATACGCTGAAATCCATTGTAACACAATAAAAGTTATTATTGTTCAAGTGTAATTCTTTTGCTAATTCACGTCTTTACTAAATAATTTTACAATACTCTTGACCGTAATACACACTAATTTGTGAATACTGCTCTCAAAGAGCATCTGAATATATGTTTCTTTTATTAATCGCAGCTGATCTCATTTGTATTCAGAGGACAGATCCAGCCTAGTTTGTGGGACGGATATTGATTTTATGGTGCAAGATGGTTAAATGATTTGCATGGCGGCACTCAAGTTCTAACATGGCGTTTTAAACTAAAATATCTAGTAAATAGCTGAATAACTGTAGGAGGGGCAAAATTTGTGACAATTCTATACATGAAGATGGAATTGTTTTCAAGGAATGCAACAATTTTTACCCGACTGCGCTGGAGGGAGGGTTGTTTACCGAGTGTTTGGTTTTTATGTTAGAGGTGGCAAACGAGCAGACGGGTCACCTGATGGAAGGTGACCGACGACGCCCATGAACGTCTGCAACTCAGGAGTCACAAACGCGTTGCCGGCCTTTTAGGAAGGAGTACGCTCTCTTCTTGAAGGGTTTGAAGGTCGTATCGGTCCGGAAATACCGCAGATGATAACCCGTTACACAGATTGGTTGTGCGGGGCAAAAAGTGTCTCGAAAAGCGCACAGAAGTGGAGCGCCAACTATCCAGGTGATAAGGATGAAAATTTTGCCGTGTGGAACGGTTGCGGAAATAAGTTATTGTTGGTAACATTCTAAACATGGTACCTTTTTTAACAGTTGGTAAATAGAGTTCATTTTAATTATTTACCTTATCTATACTAATATTATAAAGCTGAAGAGTTTGTTTGTTTGTTTGTTTGTTTGTTTGTTTGAACGCGTTAATCTCAGGAACTACTGGTCCGATTTGAAAAATTCTTTCAGTGTTAGATAGCCCATTTATCGAGGAAGGCTATAGGCTATATATCATCACGGTAAGAGCAATAGGAGCGGTGCACCAATGAAGAATGTTTAAAAAACGGAGAAAATTTATTACTATTGAGAGACGCAGACGAAGTTGCGCGGGTCAGCTAGTAACTTATAAATGTCAAGTTATAAAACAAAAAGGTTCTCACAAATGTCAAATTTGAATTACAATCATACAGTTATTTACAAACATAAAAAGCGATACATTTCAAAGGTCAGAGTATATGACATGTGATCTGTAGACGTCAGAGTTATTCGGTTGAAATTAGAATATTTATGAGTGTATAATCTAAGAGAGATAATTTAAGAATAGAGCACGCCAATCCAGCCTAACTCGATGCTTAGAGGTGTCCCACGATGTGTGAGATATCGCTTTACGCAGAGGTCATCTGTATCCCTATCTCACTGCATGTATATAGGGAATTAAGAAAGAGATAGAGAGGGCCTCTGCGTGCAAAGATCTCTCTTGCACCGTGAGACACGGTGAGACTACCCTTGCGTGCTCTATTCTTTATTATCCCTATTGCCGACATGATTTTTCAATAGAAACAGTTAACTATGAGCATTATCACGGAATGAGTGAGGTTACCGAACTAATTATAGGTTTTGGAAACTGTATACGGGCAAAGCTCGGAAAAAAGAGTTTCGATTCCTGAACTATTTATAATAAGTATGTACCTACAAATGTGTACGGAACCCACGGTGGGCGAGTCCGAATCGCACTTATCTGCATTTTTTATATATATATTCATAACTGGTTTGCATGAGTCATGAATTTATCTTTCGGCAGTATTATTCTACGACCTGCAGCCAACGCTGGAATAAAGGTCAATTTAGATTAATTCCCTAAATTTCTCTCTGTGAAAATCATAGAAGATACCGCCTAGAAGACGACCAGCCATGGGAGCTTATAAAAGGCAAACTGAATCTTCGGTTGCGATGAATGACGTCAAACTTTTTACCAGGCTAGTTCTAAAAGCGACTCAATACATAGCAATCCACATCAGAATCTTATATGAGGGATGCTATTTATGTATCCGGAACTGGTCAGTGACATAACAATATTAAAAAAGTTATTATAACAATTAAAAATGGAACTCTTTGGTTGAAGAATCTAATGCTTTCATGTAGCTGTCATTTGTTTATTCTTTATGGCGTCATTTTGAAAATTGCGTGTCTTTATCACTATGGATTTAACTCGTGAAAATTTTAATGCTATAATTAATGACGATTTTCGGCGAGGGCTAACTCAAAAACAGTACATCGATCAACTCACTTCGA